AAAGTAGTGCCCTTTGCCGTGCTGGTGTTGCTACATGCCTTACTTCTTGCCTATCTCACACTGCGAATTTTTTCTAAGCTCTATACTAAACATTAAATCTATTACGAAAAAAGAACTAAACAAAATGAACACAAAACGATCAGCTTTCAAAAAGGACTCGTGAATGGAAAAACCGAATGAAAAAAGAATGTTAAAAGCAAATACATTTTCACTCCCAACCCAGTTCTACGGAATCAGAATCAACGTTGAGTTTAAGCAAGCGAATGAGCCAATTGGAGTAAAGTGACATGCAGATTTAAATTATTCTCACTTGCAGCTATCGTTTTTTTGCATGCTAGCATGCTAGTTAACATTCGTGTCAGTCAGCTGTTGGCTCTCACGCTGGCCAGTAGAATCTTCCTGCCTATTCGTGGCACCCAGCTATTGGCTCTCTCTCTCTCTCTCTCTCTCTCTCTCTCTCTCTCTCTCTCTCTGGCCAGTAGAAAATGGCCGCAAACTACATGAAAACCGCCGTAAAAGCATGAAAAAAATCGATTATTTCCATTATCGATGGGAGTTGGGAAATGCAACGTCGGTCTTGGCCTTCTCGCTAACTTGGAGCATGTGCATGTAAATTTTGGTGCAAATCCGTCGAAAATTGCGGCCGTGCATTCGTTACACAAACACACACACACACACACACATCGTGCCTTTTATAGATAGAGATTCTCAAAATATATGTATGTATATATGTATATATGTATGTGTGTGATCGGATGTTGTTTATGCATTTCCATAGACTTCATCCGATTTCGATGCATTTTCTCTATCTTTTGCGTTGTATAAATCCTCCTACTATAGTTTTAAGGCTTTGCTTTCATTGTCATTTATGCTGTTCCCAATTTAATTTTGTTTTTATTATCCTGCCAGTTTTCGCATTGCATTCCCCGTAGCAATAAGTAAGCTTGCTTTTTTATTACTCAACGTTTATTTTTCCAAACATTCCGAAAGTTATTCGAGCTTAGTGATTACTGTAACTTTACAATGTCCTCTTCTGGTATTTGCCCACGCATTCCATTTGACAGTTCATACTTGCATATGACATGCCAGCAAAGAAAAGAACTTGCCAAGGCCGAATCATCTTTAGAAGGATCAGTTTGCCTGTCTCAAAATGCCTCTCAGACTGTTTCAATCAGAGCTACTAAATCCGAAGATCAACGTTGCCATCGGCTTTCCAGACGTGTATACCTGAATGCGCGAGGCTCAAAACGATGATCAAAGGACTCAACGGCTGAGTAGAAACGCCTCTTCAATTGCTGCTGCGTGTGAGAGCCTGAAAATGAAGATCAAAGGACTCAACGGCTGAGTAGAAACGCCTCTTCAATTGCTGCTGCGTGTGAGGCTGAAAATGAAGATCAAAGGACTCAACGGCTGAGTAGAAACGCCTCTTCAATTGCTGCTGCGTGTGAGGCTGTAAATGAAGATCAAATGACTCAACGGCTGAGTAGAAACGCCTATTTAATTGCTGTTGGGCTTGAGGCTGAAACAAGATAGAGAACGCAAAAACGGCCCTTTTCAGGGCCACCCTTCATTCAAATTTTTAATCTCGCATCTGGGGATGTGGCTTAGTTGCCACCCAATGGTTTTAATAACACTGATTTTCGGGTGGGCTGACTTTAAACTTAAACTGCCCCAATTGAACGGCAAAAATTCCCAGTAAAGAAAGACCGGATCGTAGACGTGTTATACTGCTAGTAAAGTGTATAAAATCCCATTTTTCTCTATGTTCGAGTTCCTTCGACTATACTTTTAGCCATTTTCAGTGATGATTTTTACTTTTCTTTTAACTGAAAGAGTGTATTTTATGTATGTAACTAGAGTTATTGTATCTTGTTTATTTTTTAGTTTACAAAAATTACTCATTTAGGACTTATTTAAACGAACACGTAAGCCTACCAAACTGCATCCGCAAGGTACTCGTGGAATATTTCACTATAAGAGCCGCATCCACATTGACAAAAAAAGAGCTAAAAATAATGGTAACATTCATAATAAAAAAAGACGAACATTCAATAACATTAACTATGAACATGTTCATAATGTGCTGACCGTCTTCGTAAAATAGTTTAGCATATTTGACCACTAAATTAAATTTTTTTCAGTAATCCTTCATTTACATAATCTCTTTTGAGATTATGTGGACATGTGGGGGAGATAACGGTTAATCCTAGATTCTAACAAGTTAAGACTGTAGTGGTTTAACAATCAACCTGTTGCTCTTCGTTGGAAGAAACTTTTCAAGTGGAGGTTGCTTTTTTTTTTTAAATCATTTCACTCCAAGCAAGGCAATAAATCCACTCGGACGCAAAGGGTTAATGAATGGCTGAGAATATGAGAAAAAACTACTATTATGTAGAGATGATAAAAGAATAAGAATTAAGAAAACAGAAAATAACGATTAACATTCCATTTGAATTTTTGAATGTCGAAGTTGACTCGGAAACAAGATGCAGGAAGTGAGTCCTACATGCGAGAAGTTCGATAGAAGACAGTGTTAGCATAGAACTTACGGTTTACATCTAGCCGTTTCAATTGTACATTGATGAACTCTCGCCGACAATCTAGTAATTCCTTTAAATTCATAAAGTCAAAAAAAAAAACATAGAGGAAAGCACCCCCTCTCCTCACTGAGACGTGAGGATAGGGGATGCTTTCAAGGTCGGATTTAATAGGGGGTTCTATAACGCGTATATCCGGATCAGGGCCAAAAATTGACCAATCCCAATACCCATTGAGCTGAGATGCCATCGGTATGACTACCAATGCAAGGAGACGGATACAGCTGCAGGCAGCTGTTACCCAGGAACGAGCAGCTCTGAACTTTTTTTTTTCAAGGACAGAGACACAAATTTGTTGAACTCTGCCCGAAGACAGGGATACAACAGAGAAATGTATACACTGATCGGCATTTGCTGATGTAATATTTATTTTGCTTTAATAAAAAAAATGTGGCATAAGGCCAAGAGGAGTGATAGGGGAAGGCCGTTCTTCAATCTGTCTAATGTTAAACGTAGCTAGCCACGATTACTGACCTAAACATACCACAGTATACCTTACATCAAACAACGCATTCTTATTTTTCATTCTTACTAAAGCCACTATAACATCTATCTCTTTATAGTCCTGACTAGTTTCTATACTTACAATTTATCTGTGGAGTAGGGAATAAAATAACCACATTTTCAGTTAAGAGGAAATTTCATTTGATCACTTATCATGGATGTATTTATAGAAAAGACACAGAGAACCTACGTTACGGCGCTTGGAAAGGGAGCAAGTCGAGATGTCAGGTTGGGACCAATAATAATATAGATTCTTATTTGGATTTTATCAATAATCTCTAAATTTAAAGCAGGATCACCAGAAAAGACCTGACGTGACAGCAATAGTCAGAAGCATTGAGGGATAGTAAACTACTAAACATGTTACGGTTTTTTGGGTATATATGCGTATATGACTAGTGAGCGAGTCAGAATGACTTATTTCCCTTTATAATCGACCAATAAAAGGTTGACCAATCAGAAGCCGCACAACACGGTATTCGTCGTGTATAAAGGCGGCCATCTTGTTTCGTCTACCGGAAGGACCAAAGGCGACCAGGAGAAGGATGAACTACACTCTGCTGTGGTATCCACTGCGAACCTAAAGTACGTTTTCCTACTGTCTCCGAAATATTCATTGCTAACCTCTAGATTCAATACTCAAGGACGACCGTCATGGAAATGTCTAACAAAACATGCAAGATACACCCTTGTGCAAATTAATTAAAACAACCGCTTTATTTTCCTTTCTTTCACTATACGGTCAGTTTTACACCGACTGAATTGATAGGGCGTAATGAATTTCTGTTTTTACATCAGATTAGGTCATTTGAAGTGGTGTGCTGTAATATGAATCTATTTTCAGGGTGCATGATGAAATTTGTTTGGCGTTGAAAAATATTTCGTCATCCGTGATTGCATCATCACTCACAAACATTATTGTCTCGGCCGTTGATTAGTTGTCCTACAGCTATTGTCTGCGATTGGCGTTACTCCAAGGAGGCGTACGAAAACTTTAACTGCACGAACGCACTGGCAACCCTTAGCAGTGAGCAAATCAAAGTACTATCGACTGGCACGGAAACTCTTCTGTGGTCAATCTTCAAGGAACGACTTCTTGGAGTGGACATACGAAGTACTAATATGTGCACTGGGTGATGTTACATTAGAAAAATATGGAAAAAAAAGTAAATAATATCGGAAATTTTGTTTTGTTTCAATTAAATTCTACAAGGGTGTATATTCTAACTAAAGTATACAAACGGACCGAGGATCGTTCGATACAATGTAGGTTGTCCTCGATGTGAAGGTTAGAATTAGGGTAAATAAGGAGTGTTGTTCGCCTGAACAATTTACATGGACCTAGCGATGAAGTAGCTTGAAGCCTCGAAACGTTTCGCATTTTAGAAACGGGTTGTAGCGTGGCGCGTGTATATACACGTGTAGATGAGTATCAATGTAGGTGTATGTGTACGCACCTGTGTTTGCATATGTGTGTGTGTGTGTGTTTACAGATAGATCGCTACACAGATACTAAAAGATTCTTCCTGTTATCACCTGCGCTTTTCAAATAGAATACGAGGCACAATTCTGTCTTTTCGTTATCTGAAAGGGAAGTTTTGCAACTATTTTTTTTTTATTTTCTGTTTTTTTTTTTGTTTTTGTTTTTTTTATTCCCCCGGCGGAAGATTTTAGAAGCTGAATGCATCGCCCATCCTTGAAAGAAAGATAAGAAGAGTGAACACAATCACAAGTGAATGGCGGTGATGCCTGAGAATACGGCGACCAGGGGACACTACGATTTCCAGCACTTCAATCTCGAAGAAGACACGGCTTTAGAAATGGGGAAATTGATTTAGAAGCGTATGGTGTCCTAGATGCGCTGGAAGGCTGATGCAAATTTGTCTAAACGAATGAACGCTAGATAATAGAGAAGAAAGAAAGAAAGAAAGAAAGAAAGAAAGAAAGAAAGAAAGAAAGAAAGCCGGTGAAAAAGAAAGATAAAGAGGTGAAATGGAGGAACAAAGACAATGAGAGAGAAGAATAGATTGACATCACATTGAAGAGGCGATTTAGAGATCGGAATGCATTATGAGACAAAGTTTGATGCTATGGCTAACAGAAAGACAGTATTAACTTAGAGAATGAGGGCTTCTTAGGAAGAAAATAAATAGAGGAAAAAAATAAATAAAAAAATGGTAGTTAGGCGTAATGACACTGGAGATATAAAAACAGAATAAAGAAAGAAAAAATAGCTAATGAAATTCAGATAGAAAGATCGAATAGGAAAGAAATAAGAAATGAGGAATAGAAAAGAAATAAGAAATGAAAAAAAAAAGGATTTGATAGAAAAAAGAAGAAAAACCAACCAGGAATGCGCCGATTGAATTTTAAGAAAGGGAATCACAGTCTTCGTTCATAGTCTTCGTTCATAGTCTTTCCAATACATGAAGCAGCGAAATGAAGGAAGTGATATAAATGGAGAATGGAAAATACGCATGATGTGATAGCGCACGAGAGAACCGTAAGGAAATGGCAGATGCCTTCGTCGTTAGGAGAGAAAGAAATCTTGAAAAAAAAAAACAGAGTTTGAGTGTGACAATGTCAAAGATTAACAGGTACGAAAAAAGGGACCTCATGAACGGAAAATAAAAATAAAATAAAAACAAACTTGGAAAAAATGGATTAAAAGAAATGAACGTGAGCGGTAAGAGAAAAAAATGTTGGCAACGACAAAAGAAATATAAATAGTGAAATAAATAAGGCGATGCTCGTACACAAACACAGATACGAACACACAGACACAGGCAGACAGAGGGCGGCACAAATACACAACACACTCACTCACACACACACACAAACACACACACACACACATATATATATATATATATATATATATATATATATATATATATATATATATATATATATATATAATTCCAGTCGTATCCATTACATTCACTTACGTGCTAATACCCTTGGGAGAGGTGTGAATTATCTTCTCCCTCTAATTATGGTTAAATAGCAGGACAGACTGGGTTCTATAGCCTTGGATGGCAACTGATCTAGGACAACTCTGAATTCAAAACCTGCGGAGGGTCGTTTGGGGACCCTGTGGCATGAAGTGCACCAGGTCTCTGTATTCGGCCCTTCAAAAGTGTAGATGGCCCTGCACGAAACCTTCACCACTATAATCAAATCTCATGTGCTCTTGTTGGGATGTCGGTTTCCTGGGAAATGTGTGTGTGTATGTATATTACACACACACACACATATATATATATATATATATATATATATATATATATATATATATATAAGTGAACATTGACGTCAACACTTACAGGCGACAGATTGTTTTCATGCATTCGTCAGGACTGTTCAATATTCACTTTTATATTAACATACGCTCTGTTTCTGATATTGAGCACTTTATCCCAAAAATATGGCATAGCTTAAAACTATATTTCTTCATATATATATATATATATGTATATATATATATATATATATATATATATAAAAGTTAATGGTCAAAGTTGAATCAGACCAGGGGACAGTACTTTTTAAAATGTGCTCGATACACGAGAGAAAAAAAAACTAAGTAAAAATAAATATTAATGTATAGAGCTTTTACGTTTAAAATTTCGGAGGTTAATTAAAATACTTTGCTTTACCTTCTTTTCCACTTACCTTCACATTACACTCAATGTGCTGTCTTTCAATCATCATACGCTAGTTATGTTTTTGTAAGATAATTATGTAGCGTTCTTTGTGTGTGTGTGTGTGTGTGTGTGTTTGTTTTTTTATAAAATAAAGCGTTTAAGTGGTCATTTTGAAATTATATATATATATATATAATATATATATATATATATATAGCTATAAATTTATATATATATATATATATATATATATATATATATATGTAAATTTTCTGTATTTATCTCTGAGATGAGGTATTAGCATTACTTACATTGTTTACATTATTCGGACTGTTATTTTCATTTTCATTGCCATATTCACAACGTTTCGGCCGTTGTACGCTTCGGTCTCAATTAGACATGGCCCAGTGGATAAAGGCGCTGTTTAGATCCAATCAATAGACCCCAAAAATTGTGAGTTCAGTACCAGGCTGTAGCAGTGGTGAACCAAAACATGGCGATTTGAGTTAAAGGGAAATAACTGAGACATCCGGAAGAGGCATGGCATTTGGAACTAGAACAATATACTCCAGTAGACGAAATAAAAGGTTCGGCTCGAAATTCCAATTTTTTTTGAAAACGCCAAGGCAAACGTTGTGAATATTGCAATGAAGATGAGGATAACAATCCGAATAATGTAATAATGTATATACAGTTTCTTTAAATACACCTGCAATTAAGCTTATCATTCAAGTTTTCTTGTGTTCCTACACGGATTTCCCATTCTGTGCATAAAGTGCGTCCAATTGGTTTATATACCTGAGCGCTTTTGGTTATTCTATTATCCAAGGACTTCTCCATTTTTTAACCGAATATTTAGATTATTTTTATCTATGTGCATCTATAGTGACGAGAATATTTTTGAAACACGGTCAGACTTCGTGGCTGCATTCCTAGTTGATATTATTGAGAAAAAGCAAAAGAAAACAACACCCATCAATAATAAGTCTGAATACAGCCATAACGTGCTGACCGTGTTTGGAAAAATTTTAAAAATAAGAGACTTTACGTGCTTTTGACACTGGCTGGGTGACATGGCACTGAGTGGCATGCCACTAGCGTTTACAGCAGGTGTTCCTATGCCGAACCGCTGGCGTGTTAGTCGCGGCAATGTTACCACTGGTGGACCGCTGCTGGCAACACCAGAGGACAGCTGGTGTTCCCATCGACGTCCCTTAGAGGCTTGAGTAATTTATGCGTATTCTAGTTTCTCTCTGCGGAAACTGGATGGTTATGTGTCTGTGTGCGTGCGAGTTATGGGACATTTTACCGCCAACACCGTGTTGGATACAGGTTAGATACATTAAGAATGGATTCAGTCAAGTTTGGTGATGTGATATAGCGTTTTTGATGTGTACTGATCAGTCAGTCAGTTATGTGCTTTGCGTCATACATGACTTTGCTATTTCTTAGACCATTTGCCATCCAAGGCTATTTACACATAGCATGTGGGTGGCGAAGAAATGATTTATACCTTCCCCAAGGGTATTAGCACGTAAGTGAATGTAATGGATTCAACTGGAATTCGAACTCGGCTCTCCAAATCCTCAATCCGACCCGCTATCCATTACTCCACCGTGCCTCCTGCGTACTTATATTTGGTAAAATATCGATAAGGACTCGCTCAAATGATTTACGATGTAAAGAATTATGTTATTTTTTTTATAAGGGTAACATTATACCGTTTCTGCAAGGAAAACCCTAAAAGAAAGACATTACAATCAAAAAATGTCCTTTGACAGAAAAAATATACAAAAACAACCCTATCGAAATGCATCGCCGCCAGCAATTAAGAAAGACGCCGTAGTTTTGTTCATTTGTTTTATTTTGCAATGTAATTTCATTCTCATCCAAGATCGTGAACTGTTAGGAAAAAAATGGCCTAGAGATAAGATATCTGAATAATATCAAATCGGTCGGGTTTCGATCCCGGCTTGAAGCAATTGGATGTCTAGAATCACTGAGTAGCAAAACAGTCTGTCTGAGGATGCCTATGTCAGTATATATGACTAGATTACACAACCATATATATATATATATATATATATATATATATATATATGTGTGTGTGTGTGTGTGTTTGGTTGTGTAATCTAGCCATATTATTTTAATCTTCTCAAATTCACGGATCAATTTCTTAGTATTGCTTTAAACTAATTAAGAACGACGCCGTAGTTTTCTTTCTTTCTTTTATTTTCCATCTCATCCAAGGTCGTCTTCAGCGGTGAATTGCTAAGCAAAGAATTAATGTAATTGACAGAAAGGTTACATCACACATGTCGGATTCAAGATCTATTGCACAGAATTTAAAAGAACATTCCTATTTACATTCACGTTTTAGAGAAATATTAATTGACAATACGAGTATACTCTACTATGAAAATAAAACCAAAAACTTTAAATTCTTGTAGCACTCTCTATTTAAAAACAAGAAACCAACACTAAATAAAATTAATTATGAGAAGAGCAACAATGTTTTAAAATGTCTATAAAATCTTTGTTTTAGGATACTCATTTTTTTTTTAATTGCAGGTTGAGTATCATAAAAAAATTAAGTAAAATATAAATTAAGTTACCGCCCTTACATATTCGTAACGGTTAAATTTAGACTGAATGTAACGAAACGCGTCTCATGCGCATGTACAAAAAAATCACAACTAATGATTACACTAATCTTTTTTCCTAACATTTCATGATCTTGGATGAGATTGAAATTACATTGCAAAATAAAACAAATAAACAAAACTACGGCGTCTTTCTTAATTAGTTTAATAACAACACCAAGAAATTGATCCGTGAATATGAGAGGATGAAAATAAAGAATAGACAAAATATGTTAAGATATTTCAGCCAAACATGTTTGAATGAAGGTATGCTGTCTATATATATATATATATATATATATATATATATATATATATATATATATATATATATATATATATAACATCTATGACTTCAAAATTTATTTTCATTTTCACTTATTAATGAACATGTGCCCATTTGATTTGAAGTTTTCTCGGCTGTGCGTACCGGCAGAGAGGAAAAAAAAAAAATAAATAGGTTAAAAATGAAATTGAACATTTACTCAAATACGGGTATCTACTAATATATACACTATAAAGAAAGCAAATTCAGAAATTAGTTATTTTTCACAAAGGCTGTCTTCGAGAAATCTGTCGGGTAAACCCAAGCGACAGAATGGCAAATGCAGACCTTTTCCCCATGTGTGATATTGATGGTATTGATTCCTTTCTCATGAAATTACAATTACGCCTGGACAGGTCATGTGTTACGTATGCAAGACAACAGAATTCCAAAAATGCTCATGTATGGTCAACTTGACAATGGTCATCGAAACATGGGTCGGCCTTTGTTTAGGTACAGGGACAAGCTGAAGAGTAACCTCTTAGCTGCAAATATAAATCACACTACCTTTGAGAACATCGTAATTGATCGTAATGAATGGAAGACTACATGCTACAATGGCATCAAGAACAAGACAGCATCAAACATTGTCAAGCTTTTTCAAACTAGGGAAAGGAATTAAATATCTGCTGCTGTTCCAGTCATATACTTTAAGAATCCACACTCTTGCACAATCTGTGGACTTCTTTGCAAATCACTAGCAGGACTGAAATGTCACTTGCGACTCACACACACTCATACGTCGAAATAAACGGAAAGTCCATCATATATATATATATATAAATATACATATATATATATATATATATATATATATATATATATATATATATATATATATACTGAACCAATAATCAATGATAAACAACCTTTACGACTCGAAATGCGTTTCCTGCAGTTACGAAAATTACGTCCTCTTTCATAAAAAAAGAGAAAGGTTAATTTAAATATAAATCTAGAATTATTCATGCCAGCGTATAAGTAATTTAAAAATAAAATGCATTAAATGCACTTAATATAATTATTCCTAAAGATAACAGACATTCTTAATAAAGTAGGTAAATTTGCTAAAACAATGAGTGTATACATCGACTTAAATAAAATAACAGTTTGTTATCAAATGTAGTATTTTAACTTATTTTTACTTTAAAGACAGCAATAGAAACGAATCAAAAAGAAAAGAATAAGACTAATAAAAATATAACAAAATATCATTAAATTTATGAGAACATTTTTTTTAATATTGTTCTTGTTAACAAATACTTTTTAGATAAATAATAAACTAAGATATTAACGACTCGAAAAAAAAACTCGAAACGCTTTTCCTACAAATTTGAAAATACGTAGTCGTCCATAAAAATGTTACTTCAGTCAATAAGAAAAGGACAACAATAAAATATTTCAAATATTGTTAAAATGTTTGAATGATAAATGATAGGTAAAGAAGTCGATGATACTGAACCAATAGTCAATGATAAAATCCTTACGACTCGAAATGCATTTCCTACAGTTACGAAAATTACGTCCTTTTTCATAAACAAGCGAAATGTTAGTTTAAATATAAATCTAGATTTAATCATGCCAGTGTATAAGTAATTTAATAAACGCAATGCATTAAATGCACCTAATATAAAGATTCCTAGAGATAATAGTCATAAGCACCTATTTTAAAAATATAAATAATCGATGTATACATCGACTTACGAGGAAAAATGTATTTTAATAATAAAATATTGGGAATGCTTAAGGATATAACGAAGTGATAAACAAAGAAAGATTTAAGAATAAAAAAACGAAAAATAATATTACATCGATTTCTTTGGGGAATGAAAAAAACATTTCCGTTCAGTCCGACATAAGCGTCTATCACCCGGTAGACGACATAAACATTGTTTAAAAAATCAACTCAACTCAAATACGGGTATCAAATAAAAATGTTTTAAGTAATATATATATATATATATATATATATATATATATATATATATATATATATATATATACACACAAGGTGTAACAGTAAATTGTCACCCCTTTTATTTTTTTCATTTTGCGCATGCGCGTTGATTGTTTTAGATTTTGGCGGCTATAAGGTATACTAGAGTTAGTTAGGCATTATCTGTGAGGAAAAAAAAGCAGGAAATTCGAAAACAGTATGATGTACTGTTTGGCATTCACAACTCGAAATGTATTTCCTACAGTTACGAAAATTACGTCCTCTTTCCTAAAAAAGAGAAATGTTACGCTTAAATTTAATTCTATCCATGCCAGTGTATAAGTAATTTCTCAAATACAATGCATTAAATGGTCCTAATATAACAATAGAAATAATAGTTATTTTTATTAAAGTAAGCAGACTTGCTAAAACTCTTATTTTAAAAATGAAACAAGAAATATCGAATTGAATAAATAAAATATACAAAAATGTATTTTAATAATTAGATATTATAAATTCATAATAATATGGAAAAATTATATCATAAACACAAAAATATAAAAATAAATGGATAATTAAAATAAAGATTTCCCTTTTTTTTAAATATGATAAAACCGGTCCGTTCACTCCGACATTAGCTTTTACCCAAGATTAATCTTACTCAAAAGCGACACTATAATATTGAATTTAAAGGAAAGTAATCATGGCGCCCAACCTGAATCCATCATAAAAAAATTCAAAATTTGGAATTAATAAATGTTAAATATTTAAACTATTATTATTATTTTTTTTAAATCTATGTGAGAAAACAAATATTCTTAATCTTCAAAAAGGATTTGTTTTACTTTACGTCACCTAATACAAGAGTCACTCAAGGTAGAGACTTACTGGGTAAGTTAGATAAAAGTGAAGCTGATACCTCTGATATTACAACTCTAGTATAGGTGGATAAGGAAATTTAACATAGCATATGCACTGCTAGTACAGAGTGATTAAAAAAAAAACCTCCCTATTTTATGTATGAAGGAGTCCTGACGTAACATCCTGAGACATTTTTCTTTGGGGTTGGTTAAAAGACCAAGTCTACTAAAGCCAAACCAAGTCTTTGGAAGAATTGAAATTCTGAATCCGAGAAGTTATGTCTTCCATAATACAGGTGTTCAGCAGACACAGCCACTTGCTACAAAAACAAAGCATTAACGTAAAAACTCGAATCATGTTCTTAGTCTGATCACATCGAGAATTTTATATTGATGTAACGCATGACGCATAATCCGTTAAGAAATATCGAAACTGTCGGCTGTTACGACCGCTTTCTTAGATCGATGTCTTAAAATTGGGTTTGAGAGAATGGGGCCTGTAGGTCACTCCCATTACCATCCTTCTTCGAAACATCTGAACTGGTGCAACAGAATCACAAACAAATGATTTTACCAGATAACAGAAACCACACGACCTGAATGCTTCAAAAGCAGCAACAACTAAAATGGATACCGCATGTAACACGAAGAGAGAATACTGATGCTGGCATCCGAAACTGCCTTAAAAATAAGGCAAAGAAAGAAAAGTCGCCATCTTTATTAGAAAGAACGATAACAGCTACTGGTTTTGAGAAACTTATTGTTCTAAGAGAAAGGTTTTATAAATTTACTAGCAGCATGACCCGGCGTTGCCTGTGCTCGATTCAAAAATCGTACGACTCATACAGCAATAGCTATCACTTGACTTAAAATATTTTTGCCCTTCCTTGCCTTTAAAGGAGTGCCCTTTGCCGTGCTGATGTTGCTATATGCCTTACTTCTTGCCTATCTCACACTGAAAATTTTTTTTCTAAGCTCTATACTAAACATTAAATCTATTACGAACAAAGAACTAAACAAAATGAACACAAAACGATCAGCTTTAAAAAAGGACTCGTAACTGGAAAAACCGAATGAAAAAAGAATGTTAACAACAAATACTTTTTCACACCCAATCCAGTTCTGCGGAATCAGAATCAATGTTGAGTTTAAGCAAGCGAATGAGCCTATTGGAGTAAAGTGCCATGCAGATTTAAATTTTTCCCACTTGTGACGAATGCAGCTATTGATTTTTTTGCATGCTAGCATGGTAGTTAACATTCGTGTCAGTCAGCTGTTGGCTCTCACGCTGGCTAATAGAATCTTCCTGCTTAGTCGTGGCAGCCAGCTATAGGCTCTAACTCTGGCCAGTAAAAAATGGCCGCAAACTATATGAAAACTGCCGTAGAAGCATGAAAAAATCGATTATTTCCACTATTGATGGGAGTTTGGAAATGCAAAGTCGGTCTTGGCCTTTTCGCTCACTTGGATCCTGTGCATGTAAATTTTGGTGCAAATCCGTCAAAAATTGCGGCCGTGCATTCGTTACACACACACACATCCTGCCTTTTATAGATAGAGATACCGAAATTCCGTCCTGGGTATGACGATAAGCTACATCCACGTCCCGAGTAAGACGACAAAATACGTCCAGCAGCAAGGCCTCTGATCAGGAGGTTTTGAGGAGTGTGGAACAACAAGTGTTTCCAGGTCCACCCTGACCCGGGGTGGTAGCACGTCTTAGCTATGGGCGAATAGTTAACCCCCAAACTGGGATCAAAACACTATAAAGGTGCTAAAAATAGATTTTAATACCATCAATAGAATTTTGTAAAAAATTATTACCAGTAATGATTTTTTGAAGAAAAAATATTAGCAGCCATACATTTTTGGAAAAAAAAATATGAGCAGCAATAAAAATTTTGTTGGCATTAAATTACACATTCAAATTGATATGCCGTAAACAAAATAAACCAAACCAAAATTATGCCGAAATTAACCCTGTCTGCTCAGTCAACTAATGTCAAAGGTTTCCTTTTAAGGAAGTAGTTAATATGACCATTATTATTAGATATTAAAAGAAAGGAGACGTTTTGACCCTAGCTTGATCGCCAGGAATGCTTGAAGGCGTAACTCGGGTCACACTGTCTCCTCGCTAAATCAATTTCAAATGTTTCCTTATAAGAGAACGACATGTTTGGTTGAGTAGAAATTACATTTTACATTCTATAAAAAACAGTTAAGTTGTACTGCATAGTGCATACGAATTTAAATGGATAGACCACAAACTAAAACTTTGAACCAAAAGTGACCTTTCTCGCTTTCTTAGCGGTTTCAAAATTAATTTCCCTACTGAAAGGACTGAGAAAAATTGTAATGAGGTCAAGCGGCAGTGGTGAGACGTGTCAAAAAGGTGGCTTGAATTTAGATAGAAAGTCTACGGTTGGGTGAGGTAAATCTTTAAGAAAAAGAAAAAAAGGTGTTTGCGCTTCTATCATTTCAATTCAGTC